TAGCCCAGCTACACAAATAAAGCATGTTTTGCTAAATAACTATTACTTGAATTGTAGGAAAGTACCTTAAGGAGTTAATCAAGTTCATGAATGATCAATTTAATTCTATATGCATTAGATGGTAGGAGACAAAACCGCTACTTCATATAAACGCTATATTTTTGTTTTTGAAACAGGGTCTCACCCTGTCACCCAGACTGGAGGGTAGTGGCACAATTATGGCTCACTGCAGCCTTGATTTTCTGGACTCAGGCGATCCTTCCACCTCAGCATCCTGAGTAGCTGGGACTCTTGGGACTACAGGTGTGCATCACCATGTTTGGCTAATTTTTTTTTAAATTTTTTGCAGAGACATATGTTGCCTAGGTTGGTCTCAAACTCTTGGGCTCAAGCAGTCCTCCCACCCCAGCCTCCCAAAGTGCTGGAATTACAGGCATAAGCCGCTGCACCTGGCTAAATGCTAAAGTTAAAAGAAAAAAAAAATATGGTTAAGACATTATCATAAACCCTACACTAAACATTAGGAAGACTTTTATGAGAATTCCAAGTCCATCTCTACGACCCCTTTAATCAATTTTAATAGGCTGACTATCTGTGAATGAAGAAAATAGCCCTTACTCACAGAATAAATGTCGTCGTAACTTGGACACAGTATATTTATGTTTTTTAAACCATATCTATCTGCCTTTGTGTGAACCTTCCATTAATGTGCCTAACTTAGTATACTTAGCAGTCTTTAGTGGTTCTTGATTGTCTGAAACAAAACGTTCCATTAAACAAAAACTAACATTATCTATCAGTGTTTTGAAGGAAGAAAATACTTGCTTCTATTCCTAATATAAATGTTATTTCAGGAGAAGAAACCATAGAGGAAGTTTTGCCTTATCCCCTGGAATGCTCCCAATAGTAGGAGCATCGAATCTAAAAGCAAATACTCATGAATGCTTACTCCTCTATGGTATGCATTTCCCTGACGGGGCCAAATTTCAGAATTTTTATAGCCAAATCCATTTTATTTCTTCCATAGAAACCCTTAAATATTACAGTTTCTAAAATAGTTACTTTAGTCTTTCCTTCTCATGTAAATCTTAAGCAGCACAATCAGAATAAAAAGTTACTTAGTTGGGCCGGACATGGTGGCTTGCCTATAACCCCAGCACTTTGGGAAGCCAAAGTGAGAGGGCTGCCTGGGCCCAGGGGTTCAAGACCAGCCTGGGCAACTTGGTGAGACCTCACCTCTACAATAAATCAAAAAATTAGCCACATGTTCTCACTCATATAATGGACCTTGAACATCCAATGTAATACTATAAGAAAATGACTGACGGTACTGGGAAGCTATGGGGGGCAGGGGGATGGGATTAACAGTCGCAAATATCTGTCTGGGGATGGGGAAACACTTCTTATCAACAGGATGCCTGAATGAAACGTAATTGTACACCTAACCCTTAACTGTACCCCACAAAATCATAATAAAAAATATTGATTAAAAAAAAAAAATTAGGCGGGAGTGGTGGCGCGTGTCTGTAATTCCAGCTACTTGGAAGGCTAAGACAGAAGAATCACCAGAGCCCAGTAGGTCAAGGCCGCGGTGGCCGTGAGAATGACACCACACTCCAACCTGGGCGACGGAGTGAGACTCCAACTCAAAAAAAAATAAAAAAATTTACTCAGTTGTGTGCATTTATCCCACCCTTCTAGAGAGAGTGCAAAACTGAAACAGGTCTCGTGATCAAAGACCCAATTCAAGGACTTGAAAAAAGATGAGGTTAACTTTGTTCTGTGTGTTGTGTCTCCTGTCTGGGCAGCTGGGCACAGAAGTAATGGGGAGATGCCAAAGGATAAGTTGCCCAGGTCTAAGGAGTTAAATGTACATATAAGAAGCAACAGCTAGCCGGGTTCAGTGGCTCAGCCCGTAACCCCGCGCCTTTGGGAGGCTGAGGTGAGTGGATCGCCTGAGCCCGCGGGTTCGAGACCCATCTGGGCAGCGAGACCTCATCTCTACAATAAATCAAAAAATCAGCTGGGCGTGGTAGCGCATGCCTGTAATTCCGGCTACTCCGAAGGCTGAGGCGGAAGGATCGCCGGAGCCCAGCGGGTCGAGGCTGCGGTGGCCGGAAGCGGCCACTGCACTCCAGTCTGGGCGAGAGAGTGAGACTCCCACTCAAAAAAAAAAAAAAAGAAGCAACAGCTGATGTTGTGCTGATTCCCAGTGATCCAACTAGCTAAGCCATTATCTTTCTGGCACTGGAGTAGAGAATCTGCTAGCTTGTATTGTCTACATTAAAGGACATGCTTTTGAGTATTATATTAGTTAGCTTTGGTATATTAAATTATTTTACTTCATTCAAGTAACTATTCTTTTTGCTAAACGTGGTAGGTAGGAACAAAGCTTAGAGTATGTAGCATAAATAATACTTTAAATTCATGTCACATCTCTCATCTAAGAATCTTTATAAGAGAGATATTTTCAGTCAACCCTATTATCTTTTTCAGCAGTGTAAGAGGCAGAATTGTTTAGGCTGTTTTTTGAGATGGAAGAACACTGTTGCTTGCCTTTTTCCTGTTCTTTGGGAAAATGTCAATATTGTATGATACCGCAAAAGTCATCAGACTTTAAAATTCATGTGGTCTAGCGCTAAGAGATAGTAAGCCTTGAATCCTCCACGGCACTAGTAGTATTTGACAAACTGCAGGAAATCAGCAAATGTTAGATAGATATACGATGGATGGGTGAACAGGAAGGAAGCAGAGAGGCAGGCAGAATCCTAGGGAGTTGGCCTACCATGCATGATGTTCATATGGCCATTTGCTAACAGTATAAATTACAGACAGACAGTAAGAGAGCATCAGCACAAGTTCCAAATGATCATTCTCTGTGTGGTCTCAGTGTAAATGGGCTTAAGGCCGAGCTTCCTTCCAACATACTATGACATACATGTGCCACGAAGAGATTACAGGCGTGCTGGGAATATTGACTCCCTCAGCCTTTGGGGTGACAGGGAAAGGCTAGGCACAGAAGTCCCCAGCTAGATAGATACTTCTTCCATTTATCTCAGTGAACTGGACTAATGTTGTCAATTTTTTGGTTAGCGAAAAACACTGGGAAAGATAGGTCTAGGGTACTGGGATTCCAGTCACAGTGGAGGATGGATTGAAGAGAGAAGAGAGTAGACACAGGAAGATACCAGATGGTTATTACAGTGGAACTTCCTGATTCTATACTCCTCAAATATTCTGGGCTTCAGTTCTCTTTTTGTACTCATAAGATTAACTGGTTGTCTGAAATAGTGTCCTAATAGAGAAAGCTCCTTTTCCTCTCTCTAAATAAGGCTTTTATATCTAATCAAAACTTCTTCTTTTTAGATCCTGGGTAAAAATTTTAAAAATTGTGAGGAGCCATTTGGGGAGAGAATCAGTAAAATATATTTGGAGGATGACAGGAAAATGGATCCTTGGGGAGGCGGGAGTTGAGGACAAAGTGACAAATCGGGAAAACACAATAATCTATACAGGGCTCATAGTGAGGTCAGAGAACTGCGGAAAAAATGAATTTTCCATATGACTAGGAGACAGCATGAGTGGTTCAGGAGGAGACAGTGTTTAGTACCTAGCTTTTGCCCAAACACCTAAATTACTTAATTAACAAAAAGCACAAATAAGTATTTCTTCTTTTTTTCACCTGTCACAAAACTGGTTGAACTTTCCCACTATGACTAATACAAAAGTTGAATAAACACATTTGACCTGACCGAAGACTGAAAGTTAGCAGGGTCCAAACCACTAAGTAACAGTTTGGGTACAGATCATCTACCATCATTTTTTATTTTACTTCAAATCTCATTCAGGCTAAAATAGATGTGAACCCCAGACTGTAAATCTGTAATCCAGGAAGAAAAATAGTTTTTTAGAAAAGAAAAAATAATAAAGACAAAGATAAATTTGCTCTCTTTCTTCAACCTTCACCAAAAACACAGGACATGAAATTAAAACCATTATTTCAATCTAGGAATTCATAATACTCTTCTCTCATTTGCCAGTTGGAAAACTGCTGGGGCTTTTTGTTTGTTTTTTAAACATTATTAAATAGAGGACAGTTTTAGAATTTTAAAATATTTTCTTCACTAGTGCTAAAATTTAAATCAAGGTATGACCAAAGCACAAAACAAAATTCTTAAAGCCCACATATTTAAATTAATTTGAAAAATACTCCCAATATTCCCTGTGATATTTTGGTATTTGAATAAGCATGAGCTTTGGAGTCAGACACACTAAGGTGTGAATACTGGTTGTACCATTTCCCTGTGTCTACAGGCCATATACTTAAACCTTGTGAGTTTCTTCAACTGTGATATCAGAGATATAATCTCTCCTTCTTAGCTTTGAGAATTAAGTGAGAGAAGATTTCTATATAAAAGTGATATGTGACAGGCATGAAATAAATGGTGTTTCTTACTTCTATAAAGAAAAAAATTGATTTAATGTTAAAAAGACAACTTAAAGAGATTAAGTTTTTTTCATTTAATTCTGTATGCAGAATTATTAGACAATGATGACTATAATACCTCTGATTTATAATCAATAAAGTCTTGTCCATACTTTGTGTCATCATTCCATTTCTTGCTGTTCTTATTTTGTAGTGATGTTACTTTCTTTGCTATGCAAGTCTGTTTTGATAGGAAAATTAATTTATTTAAAGATCTTCACATTTTACAGTTCCTCCAAAGAATGAACTTGGAGATTGGAAAGAAAAAAAAGAATTCTTTATGAGTTAGGAATATATGTCAAAATTAAAATGAAAAAGTATGATTTTATAAATACAAATGATTGAGTCATATTTCAATTTGTGCAGGTAGTTCATCTAGTATAATAAAAATGAGGAAAAACCTGATAATATCTAACCACAATTCTAAGATAACATGGTGCTAGTTTTGTTGAGCATATCACTATGTATAAAGTGTTTTTTGAGGTCAAAGTACTTCTCCCATTAGATTACTTACTCTTTGTCCTTTAGAACCTTGACTCCCAGGTGGTCCTCTTGCCCCTACATGACCCTACATGTTGTAAATTTAAAAATCAGTTAAAGAATTCATAGAAATGTTATCAGAATAGTAGTCATACTTTCTTATAATATATGTAATTCTCCTTGGAAATTCTTAAAATAAAATCACACCTCTCTCCATCAATATTTTGTTTTTGAAATATTCTACTGTTTGGGGAAATGTCATTTTCAGGTGTTTACACCCTGAACAAAGAATGGAAACTTTAAATATTCACTGACCAGCAGCTTTCAGGAGAAACACACATGGAATGATGAAGAAAGGAGAAACTAGCTTATCCAGTCTGACCAGTCTGGCCCATCAAAGAAGCAGCAGCTATCACTCTAAGATTTCTTTACCACTATTCTAGATATTTATGATAATCTCATCACATAAAAACAGATTTTTTTGTTACCATGAAAATACCAGTGTTCCAAATTAATATGCCATAAAAATAGCTTGCAAAGAAGTTTAAGTTTCCATTTATTAAGTCAATTACAATTAATTATTTTTATAGCTCAATCAGAAAACAAAATTTATCTATGAACATAAGGTAGATAAAAATGAAGTGAGGTTTAGGACCTCAAATCTACTTAATATCTTATGTAATTAAAAAGACTCACAACTGTGCCTTAGACCAGTCTTTTTAATTTTAGAAGCTGACATGTATACAAATAAACTGGAAAATCAGCCTTATTCTTTTTAAAATAGAAGCTTCACAGACTTAGTATAGTCCATTTCTGATAAGAAAAGTCTGCTCAGGGCATCCTAAAGGCTGATCTTTTTCATATTTTAAGTTCACAACAACCGTCAAATTTTGATAAGCAGAATTTTTTGGAGGGGGTTCATTATCCTTTTGTAAACAACAAATGGAAGACATTCAATACTTTGATTTTTTGTTTACTAATAAAAGTATATTTCCTATGAATTTTTTCTGGTGTGTGAGAATATTTAACACATTTCTAAGAAAAAAACATGTTGGAACTTATGCTGTGATTTATTTATCCAGTTGATCTCACCTTTAATCGTGATTATTAATTCTATTTTCTCAAATGTGGTAATTCAAAAAAAAGCTTAAATGTTTTTTAGTTATGTTGCTGAACTCAAATTGATTATATACTAAGTAGGAGTGAGGATGTTACAGATACAAGGATAAATTTCAGAGTGTTTTGTATAGTTGAGAAAGAAGCAGTATCCACTAGTTTATACATAAATTACTTTAAATAAAAACAAAAATATAGCATAACAACAGTGATAAATTTAAATTAAAATAAGCATTCTAGAAGGTACCATAAAGTTTTTCTTGTACTTACAGGCAATCCTAGAGGACCCAAGGGTCCTGGAATCCCAGGAGGACCTGGATAGCCCTATAATTTAAGCAAAATATGAAAGATATAAAATCTTCATTATTTTGAATGATCTTCATTGACGACAATCAGTAAATTATAAATAGTAATAAAAAAGGATAATTTGACAAGTCTCTTATTTATCCAAGATATGAAAGGCTACAGAAAATGTTCTGCAGGTGACCACAGAAATATAAAACATGTTTACATCGAAGTTGTGTATCCATTTATTAGAGGGTCTTCTTTACCTTGAAAAGAAATTGCTAGCCAGAATCATATACAACAACTTACTGATAAGAGAATATGTAAATTATGTTATCTTTTTCATGGATGTATGTTATGTTATATAGATTATGAAACCATATCCTTTTCAGAGAAGTCAGAGAACTCTCTAATTAAAGAATATAAATATGTACAAATACTCTAGTCTGTTAAATTTTATTTTTGAAAATTAATTTTAATTTCATAGCCTGTCAAATTTTAGAAAGACCATACAATTCATGGTATTAACGCTGATTCAGAGAATGCCTTAAGGGATGATTCCTGAAGTTGATTAGACTTATAGGTACATTAAATTTCAGCAACTTGAGATTGCAAAAAAATAAAATAAAAATAAAATTTTCACAGGACTTTTCTGATGGTGTAGAAGTTAAAACTGAGCAATAACTAGGTAAAATGAATGTTTAGAGAGTACTATGTGCCACCAGATCCATCAACATATATTTTCTGAAGGGAAGATCCTTTTATTGAGAATAGTCTTTCATTCAAGTTCCTACCACTCATAGAAGGTATTAGTATGTTCAAAAAAATGCAACTCATACATAAAATTTGTCAGCTATTTCCTATATTAAAGATACAAGAGAATAAGATAAATTCTGGATTCCTAGCTCTTATATGTCAAAAAACTACATCATGATAACAAACTCATGGAAACGGCAATGATGATGTATGTTATTAACTATATATGTATTTTATAAACATAATACATAAATATATGTTATAAACCATATGACCTATAAGCTATAGAAGAATAAGTCAAATTCTGATGAAATTTTCCTCTTCATTTTAGCTAATTCATGGTTTAATTCCTCTCCTAAAACTATAGACTCATTTGACTAAGCCAAATATCTCATTTGCATGGTTTTTAGTGCCTTCGCGTTATACAGCATTCTGAGCTTTCTGGGAGATAAACCATTTAAGAAGAATTCTAACGGAAATTTATTATAAAACAGTATTTTTCACTTTAAATTCCATTCCAGGCAATTCCACCTCAGAAATGCCTTAACTTTATTATTTTCTTTGGAAACATATTTTTCAAATCATTAGGCTCTTACCATCACACCCTTTTCCCCCTGGGGACCTACTGGGCCTGGACTCCCACGCTCTCCCTTTTAAAAGAACACAGAAAAAATAGTAACATAAAGGCATGTTGATTAGTTGTGACTGAGCTAAGTCTAGAAAGAACTGTCAGAATCATATCGTGCACACATATCTTATCCCAATATTCAGTAATTTTTGAATTTACATATTTGGCATTTTTAGCCTAAAATTGCTTGACTTTAAATATAAAAAAATTATCTTAAGATGACTTTCAAAAGAATAATATTAAAAGCCTCATTAAAATGAAGAAAACAGAATTATGGATAAACAGGACTTAAAATTGAGTATATGTCACAAGCTAAAGTTTTGTAAGTAAAAATGCTTACTGTTATATGAGACAAAATATGAGAATAGTGAAAGTATCAAGGCATGCTGAAAAATTAACAAATCTGTATAATCATTTAAGAAAATTTTATTTCTACTGCAATTAAGTGCCACAAGAAATAATTCTGGAAGATCATGATAAATATGCCACAGCAGCTTAAAAAGACTAACCTGACTGATATTAAAATTTCAGGGGTGTCAACATTTAGTGTAGAAAACTTAAACCAGCACAGAAATAATGAAAACAGTATAAAACTATCTGAATATTAAACACTTTGAATGTACTAAGTAAGAGTCGGGGGAAATTTTTTTTTTTTTTTTTTTTTTTTGAGTTGGAGTCTCACTCCGTCGCCCAGACTGGAGTACAGTGGCCGCTCCCAGCCACTGCAGCCTCGACCTGCTGGGCTCCGGTGATCCTTCCGCCTCAGCCTTCCTAGTAGCCAGAATTACAGGCGTGCGCTACCACGCCCAGCTGATTTTTTTGATTTATTGTAGAGATGAGGTCTCGCTGCCCAGGTGGGTCTCGAACCCGCGGGCTCAGGCAATCCACTCACCTCAGCCTCCCAAAGGTGCGGGATTACAGGCTGAGCCACCCAGCCCAGCTAAGGGGGGAGAAATTTTTAAAAACTTAGATTCTACCCTGAAGTAACTGCAAACATGATATTAGCAGAGATGAAACAATAAAAGGACAATTATATTTTAAACTGTAGTACTTATTCTAAGTCCAAGAAAGGAAGAAATCAGGAAGGATTATGGAAGTCTGGAGAGACTTCATAGAGGAGAAGAGAATTCAACTGAGTCCAATAGTTTGGTTTTGAATAAGTAGAGAGAATATTCTAGATCAAGAAAATAGGAAACAGGAACAAGTACAAGATGGGAGAGAGAAAGGCAAAATGATAAATCATTCTTCTCTTTCAAAACTGCTTCCTATGGGGGCTTACTCTCATAAATTAGATTTATAATATTTTCTAGTCATAAATCTAGGTTGCCCATTTCATCTTTTCTCTTCAGACCATATCTTTATAACCACAATGGTATTCTACACTTTAAAAATTAGAAACATACATGCTATTAGCTATATTTCAATACATTTAAGAGATTCAGTATAGGCAACGTGCTAAAGTTACGAGTGATTTCCATTAAGTGCCACAAGAAATAATTCTGGAAGATCATGATAAATATGCCACAGCAGCTTAAAAAGACTAACCTGACTGATATTAAAATTTAACATAAAATATTATATGAAAGTCTTTCCTTTGAATTTAACCTATAAAAAAAAATAAAAGAAATTACCTTTTCACCAATGCTTCCAGTCATCCCGACTTCTCCAGGTAGGCCAAGAGGTCCCTTTTAGGGGAAACAAAACAAAACAAAAAAACATGGTTGCTATTGCAGCATCCTGGTGTTAAATCACCTGTAATCACTATGTTTCTTTCTAACCCCTACATTTATTCTTGGAGTAGAACTCCTTCTACTCTAGGTACACAGTCACTGGCTTCATGTCAGAATTAATTTATTTGGTCAATCAACTAAAATATTTGAGTGCCTAATAAATGACAGGCACTATGTGGGGAGGTAATGGGTTTCAAATTCAAACACAATCTCTGTCCTTGTGGAATTGGCAAACAACTGGACGTTTTAAACTCCTGCATTTTTTATACCTACTTGATAAAGATAAATTTTTTTACAAAATCATCATTGTGCCTGCCTTCCATGAAAACCCCTCAGACATGAGGGAACAAAACATGCCCATCATTCAGTCATTCACTGGTCCCTACTCTTTGCCAGGCATTGTAATGGTTGTTGAGATTTCATTAGTGAGAAAGATCTAGGCCCTACTCTTCTCTCATGAAGCAAAAAGTCTTTTTTTTTTTTTTTTTGAGTTGGAGTCTCACTCTGTTGCCCAG